CTGCATTAAAAACGCTGGTACTAGGATTTGAAACAAAACAACAAAAAACCACAGCGAAACCGACGGCACAAACAACCCGAGAAAGCTTCTCAATAAGGATCTTTTTGTTTTTCAAATCCCAAAACAAGTGACAACTATCGACCCTCGTGGAGTTCAGCGATACGCGACTGCCGAACATGCATTTCACGGGCCCTGGATGATCGCTTTCGCCGTCGTACGCAATCGGTCGCTTGTCCCGTCACGCAAACGGACAGCTGTGCGGCATAACGTCCCTTCGCTTTATATTTTGATTTAAAGCTTTCGTGACTGCAGGGATTCATATTCTTGGTTCTTTCTGAAAGCTTAAACAAGCGAAGGGGGTCCTGTACAACAGTGCTTCACATTCTTGGTTCATTCGGTAAAGACTTTACGGAAAGAACCAAGAATTTGAATCCCTTCGCTTGTTTAAGCATTCAACGTAAATGTCACGTGCGATTTAACAATTGTAAATGCTCGTGACCCCCACTATTCAAGCTTTGCAGGTCACTCTTTTGCCAATGCGGCTTATCCTTTTTGCCTCTTTATTTTTAGTTGTTCACCTGGTTAAACAAAATAAACTTGAAGCTTCCAACGGAATACAACTTCTCCGAATCGCTGGTTTGTCATTTAGTTGAGCGACTACAACTTGAAGACACAAATAAGCGGGATTGAACAAAAAGTATGGCTTTATTTGTTGTGTTATTCCTCACACTCGTTATAAGTTGAAAGTTTCATTTCGCGTCGACTGTTGTTGGTTCTGTCGGTGAAATGTATCCTCTTGGTGTCACCGAGCGGGTGTGTCCGTTTCTTACGGACGTGAAAGTTTAACAGAAGCACCTGTGCAATGATTAAAACAGGAAGTGGTCTGTTCGAAACATCATCATGTATTGCACACCACAGTACATACACAATTTGTGAATGCTCGCAGTATCCTGACAGCGTTTGCACGATAATTTCTCAATCATATACTGCATATATAGTGCATGAAACAAACAAAAAATATATATATAACGATATAAAAACTACGCATTCCAAGTAACGAACACGTTTATACGATGGAGTGTTCAATGGTGTGAAGTGTACACGGCGCCAATATATTTGCACGGTATAAAATTCATTCGATCGAGATGAACAGATCGATCACTCAAAGAGACGGGCAGTTACATTTTGATTTAAAGCTTTCGTGACTGCAGGGATTCATATTCTTGGTTCTTTCGGTAAAGTCACGTAGAAGGGAAACAAAATAATAAAAATTGTTTTATATTTTTATTACCAAGAATAAGGCGGGCAGTTAGTTTACGAGTCACAGTTGCAAACAGCAACATTTGCCCTCACGCTAGGGTCACACTCATTTTCTGCAGAAAACAAAAAAATATATAACACTGTACACGAAATATTCCAGTTCGCACCCGCCTGGAAATTTTAAAAGTGGCGACAGTTTCCATGGGGTTAATAACGATAAACTCACGGACAGCTCGAGGCCCTGGAATGTGCAGGGCCAGACGCAGATTTGCAACATTCACACAAACATTCCGCTGCTATAACAGAAGAGACCTAAACAATTGGCAATGCAGTTAACAAGCACATATTCCGAGCGTCGCATGAACAACTTAAGACAGCACACCTGCTTGATACGCGTAAGCTTTAGTAAGCACCCACACCAGACCCTCCGATTCCGTTCGCGTTGTGTAGATGTTTGGTACAAAATCAGAACCAGAATCTTTATTTAGATTGGAGGAATCTGATGAGCTATTAAGCTCTTTCTCGCAGACGTCCAGTAAGGGGCGGGTCAGAAAGTTACGACAACAATCAATCCAAACAGGTAGGAGTGCAAAGTATAGGAAAGTTAAGCTAGTCACTAAATATAAATTAAAAATACATGAAGTATACAGGTACAAAGTGTTTAAGTAAATACATTTCTTGCTGATTTTCAACACCAAATGCAGTACCTACTATAATCACCCAGGAATGTCTGTCCTTAACGCTCACGACGTCACTCCACATTGACCAGCCCCCCCCCCCTCCATTAATATTCATGAGCAGGTGACGTCCTCCAAATGGACCCCCCCTCATTAATAATCATGAGCATGTGACGTCACTCACACATGGGGGGCCGAGGCGCCTCCTCCCCCCTCCTCGGCGTCAACTGACAACCCTCACTACAAAGCCAGAACCCTCACGTCACGTGGTCTCCGTGACGCTGTTGAGACATCTGAGTAAAAAGGACGTCGTGATGAACAAGGGATTATAACATTAAAATGAAATAGGTCTGTGTCACCGCACCCTTACAAATTGCACACGAATTGATGCAATGCATATATCACGTCACGGTCTGCTTTTCGCTTGCAAGTTTCAGATTTACCGCAATACACCCGTCCTTGGACGGGGAAAAGGCTCGTCTCAGAATATTTGTTGAAGGTAGATTTATGACGTTCAGGGAGGAAACAAGGTTGTTCCAAAACGTTGGTGCTGCACTGGCAAAGGCTTTGTGTCACCAATTCCAATTCTTGTTCTTGGGATAGTAAAAAGACAATTAGATGGACGTCTTAGGTTTCTTGGGTTTGACAATGAGAATTAGCTAAGTAAAACGCAGTTTTGCAAAAGAAGTTCAACGTGCATACGTACAACATAATTCTTCAGCCAGTACACACACCAACTAATCTTGCTTACTTTTTTGTCTTTGTTTCCCATTTTCTTTCCCCCGACTGCGCTAATCGGCGTCATAGCACCCCCGTTCGGATATCTGGCAGAGCAGTGCAACCCTTCAAGTTCGAGAAACAGCCCCCAGCAGCCAGTGCCGGATTATCCTAGTAGCAAAAGTAGCTACTACATGTGTAGTAGCTACTACATCTGTAGTAGCTGCATGTGTAGTAGCTACATGTGTAGTAGCTACTACATGTGTTTTAGCTACTACATCTGTAGTAGCTGCATGTGTAGTAGCTGCATGTGTAGTAGCTACATGTGTAGTAGTAGCTACATGTGTAGTAGTAGCTACATGTGTAGTAGCTTAGTAGCTACATGTGTAGTAGTAGCTACATGTGTAGTAGCTGCATGTGTAGTAGCTGCATGTGTAGTAGCTGCATGTGTAGTAGTAGCTACATGTGTAGTAGCTACATGTGTAGTAGTAGCTACATGTGTAGTAGCTGCATGTGTAGTAGCTGCATGTGTAGTAGTAGCTACATGTGTAGTAGCTGCATGTGTAGTAGCTGCATGTGTAGTAGCTGCATGTGTAGTAGTAGCTACATGTGTAGTAGCTACATGTGTAGTAGTAGCTACATGTGTAGTAGCTACTACATGTAGTAGCTACATGTGTAGTAGCTACATGTGTAGTAGCTACATGTGTAGTAGCTGCATGTGTAGTAGCTACATGTAGTAGCTACATGTGTAGTAGCTGAATGTGTAGTAGCTGCATGTGTAATAGCTACACATGCAGCTACTACACACTACTTGTGTAGTAGTAGCTACATGTGTAGTAGCTACATGTGTAGTAGTAGCTACATGTAGTAGCTACATGTAGTAGCTACATGTGTAGTAGCTACATGTGTAGTAGCTACATGTGTAGTAGCTACATGTGTAGTAGCTACTGCATGTGTAGTAGCTGCATGTGTAGTAGCTACATGTAGTAGCTACATGTGTAGTAGCTGAATGTGTAGTAGCTGCATGTGTAATAGCTACACATGTGTAGTAGCTACAAATGCTACGGGCCCCGCACTTTCAAGGGCCCCACGCTAAACGCTTTCAAGCTATCAATTCCGGTTCAGTGATTCTGCACTTGCTCTATTACAATAGTACTATACTGCCTTCAACTTTTATGAACGACTGGGTGTTTAACGTTGGCGATTTGTCGTATTATCTGTGGCTGTATAGCAAATAAAAAAATACAATTACTTTACTATGCAAGTAAAAAAAATGTGAGTTTTAATCTTTACGTTTTTTTTTTTTTTCAAATTTAGGGCCCTTTTATAACATATGCTACAGGCTCCGCACTAACTTAATCCGGCAGTGCCTGCAGCGGATATCATCACAGAGCTGTCTCTGAGATCCCTTCCAGTGAAGTGGCAACGCGTTCCCTGCGGCTCTGCCACTGTGAGTCATGTTCGTCGCGTGGCAGTCACGATTACATTTGGACTTCTCAGAGCTGGAATTTAGCCAAACTAAGTGCGGAGAACCACATTTGAAGTTATGTTTGCGTGCAGCCATTGGTGACCACGCCGATACCATGAACTCAAAACCCGGTTTCATCACGGGCGGCTGCCTGGATTCAAACCCAGGATCCGACCAATGTTGATCTACCATTAACGACGTGGTTTACCACCTTTACGGTATAAATGCTGCATTTGCTAACCTTACTCATTACAAAACTTTAGCCCGAGTAGATCATTGGCACAGCAGCAGTGCAGCGCAGCACGCTGCCGTAAGCACACTTGTCCAGCATGGCCGGATTTAGATATCTTTATCTCGGATACACAAGAGCAGAAACTACCTTCCACTCCAACCCTCACATTCTCTTACACATACGGGCACACAAAGACAACGATACAGCCTTCAACAAGTGCTTTTAGCACCTATTAAGGCTGGCGCAGCTCACAAGGGGGTGTGTGGCCGTAACCACACCCGGCCCCCTTTGTCTCCCCAGTGGCGATGTTTACACACCGCACCAGGTACTCATTTGAGACTGAGTCGACCTACGGGAGGCCTAGGACCGGTTCAGATAATCGTCACCGGTGTTCTGCCGTGAGCTGGAATCGAACCCCACACAGAAAGACACACGTCTTGACAATGACAGAGATCCCCCATATAGCCAACCAGGCTCTTGGAGAAAGTACTTGAAAGTAAGCACCTATTAAATAGATATATCTATAGACACAAACATTCCAGAGCCTTAATGCTGGGATGCACTCATATGCAAATAACAAATTACCACAGGTATTTACGATCAAAATGACACGAACATCAATGGCTACGTGTCCTCTAACATAAAATCCACGTAAATTACTATTCCATCGAACACATGAAAATAACTATAACTTATAAAACGAGACCAAGTTCGACTTTTAACGAATGCATGCAGAAATGGAACGCTGTAAGGTGAATTTAAAACAACCGAAAAGCGAGTAAATCCAAGACGATAACACGAATAATCCGTCCTATTTTTCATAATACAAAATGTAACGTACTTTATTCCATAGGGCCCTCTGAACATTTTGGTCGTGGACAAATGCCCCATTTAATAATGCTAATAATTGAGTCAGAATCAGAATCTTTATTCAGATTGGAGGAATCGGATGAGCTATGAAGCTCCTTTTCACAGATGTCCAGTATTTGTGCCATTCTTACAGCACAGGGATGATATGCAGGAGGGAGCTATGGTTCACATCGTGTGCGGTAATTCCACAATGGGGGTGGGGGTGGGGGGCGCACTGCTGCTATATGTAATCCCAATGGAATAACGAGCAGTGTCATGTTTCTAATTTGTATAATTTGGACGACGACACCGGCAGACAGTGGCACACTCTTTGAGGCGAATGCCGTCCGTTGTCTTTAACGTCCACTATTGAGAGGTCGGTGCATATTTCACGGCGAAGACACCGTCAGTATTAACCAGGGCTTCCAACCGCCTTCAAACCGTTAAGCTTTGCAGCAAGTGCCGATCGCTCGCGCTGGGCCACACCATTTGCACCCCTAAATACCCAGCCCTGTTTTAAATGTTACATCAATATATATTTCATACTTTCTTTAAACTAATTTTCTTCAAACCAGGCGCCTGTGCACTAGAATATTTTTTGTTCAAAACAAAATCAAGACTATGTTACCCATTGTACAATCAATGTCTTGCTTAGTCGGTCAAAACTTCGATTTATTTTCCCACTGAGAGAATAAATATAATATTCTACCGTTTCGGCTATCTCTAGATTTACTACACTTATCCAAAGTTGCATATACACAAATGGGAATATAGCTTATACAATCTAACTAGTGATTGGAGAAAGTTCCTTATCGTACATCGCGTACGGTCCTTCTCACAGTCGGCGTTAGCATCCACGGCATTAGCACAGAGCAAGACTGTTCTTCAGAGGGCCCTGCATCGTGTTCTGTAAAACAAAAAAGTTAAAATAATTTCCTCGTCCGTGTCCGTGCTAATCGCCGTCCGACACAGCTCCTGGGCCACACATGGAATTTCCACATACACCATGGCAGGGAAAGATACAGTGTATATCACAGCACAACCACTTGACCCGTGTCAAGCATTGTCTATGTTTACGTTTGGAGGTATTCACGTTTACCCTTACAGGTATTAATGTTTACGTTCACGAGAATTAATGTTTACGTTCACGATAATTAATGTGATGGCGCTTTGGGTGGCAGATTTGTGCCAGAATGGTGCCGCGTATTTAACGAACATTTTTAAATTGTTTAAAAAAAAAATGTTTAAAAAAATACATTGTTTAAAAAACTACATTGTTGAACGAAAAATAAATTGACTTGACCACTCCTCAATATCATGTTTCGATTTTTCTTTTAAAAATTATTATTCCGACTCTTATTCAGATGTGCAACAATTTCTCGTTTTTGGTTGAGTCATTCGCCCCCCTTCCCCCCCCCCCCCCCCAGGCGTGGCTATGATCGGTGACTCGGTCGGTGCCAGGCCGGGCGCCAGCTAGCTGGACGAGTACAAGTTGGGCTGCGGCGTGGAGCCCTGCATCTTGGACTTCATGAGCGACAGCTTGTGCTCGCGGAGGTTCCGTGCGTCGACGTGGTGACTGGCGATCTCCTCCACGTGGCTCGCCGGGAACCAGCCACGATCGCCGGACCGTAAGCGCTCGCCCTCCATCCAGCCTGGTGCACAGGGCAGCAACGGGGCGCCACGCTCGTCACAGCCTCCACGATATCAAATCGCCGAGGGTTTTCTCCTACAACTCTGATGTTGTAGGAGAAAACATTTCTTACAAAGTCTATTCAATTAAGTAGAACGTGTTGTCTGTATTGATTTAAAGTTGCGCATTTTGATGTGACGTCACATTTCTCAACCCCCCCCTCCCGCTCGTCACAAATGTCTGAACCCCCCCCCCAGGTGCGTGACGTCACTTATGGACGGCCGCTTACACACAAAGTGCTTGCCACAGATGACCCACAATGCCTTGCTCATCTCGTCAAGGAGCACAAACCATCATGACGCAAACTCTCACGGTCATCCTCGCAACGGCGGCTTTTTGGCTCACCGGTCACTGCGTTGCTTCTGTGGCCGTCTGGAACGCTCTTCCTTCTGATATTAAGAAGCCACTGGAGCTATGCACTTTTAAATCTAAATTGAAAACTCGTTTATTGTGAGCTGCTTTTTTATGTTTAGTTTGTTGTGCTTCCCCCGCACCTTCGATTAGCACTGTTGGCTACGTACTGTGTGAAAGAAGTTCAACATACATGCATACAGGGTGCCAGAGATTATCCAATGGCATAGCATAGCATAGGCCTTTGTGTCTCGAGAGACAATTATTTTTGCGCCTTACGAGGTCAGCTGTAGGTTTTGCAGCGCCTAGAATGACTTAGTAGGCCAATCCTTGAGTGATAATCCTTGCCACGGCAATTGCAAGTGAATGCGGTGGCAGCTCCAGAGGTGTTTGTTGCTTTTTCTTTACGTCGCTCCCTCTTGGTCTGCCAAGCAGTGTCTCTTTTCTCCTCGCCTCTCCTGAGGCCTGTTTTCACAGCCTGCTGCCAGCTGAGTCGGTCGCCGGCAGTTTTCTCCCAGTCATTTGGGTTGATGTCGCAGCTCTTCGTGTCCCGTTTACAGACATCTTTGAAGCGCAGGACCGGGCGACCAGTGGCCCGTGTGCCTGATGCCAGCTCGCCGTACAAGACATCCTTGGGTATTCTGCCATCCTGCATGCGGCGCACGTGTCCAAGCCATCTCAGACGCCTATGACTGAGCAGAGAGTACATGCTGGGAATGTTGGCCAAGTTGAGAACTGAGGTGTTGGGAATGCGATCTTGCCATCTGATATCGAGGATGCGCCTGAGACATCGGAGGTGGAATGTGTTTAGTCGATGTTCTTGATGGGCGTATGTTGTCCAGGACTCAGATCCATAGAGGAGGGTGCTAAGGACGCAGGCCCGGTACACTTGTACTTTGGTGTTGAGCGTTAGGGATTTGTTCTCCCACACTCTTTTAGTCAACCTGAACATAGCTGTAGACGCCTTCCCAATGCGCTTGTCGATCTCTGTGACAAGGGACAAATTGTAGGTGATGGTAGAACCCAAGTAGGTGAAGTCCTGAACGACTTCCAGGGTGTAGCTGCCAATGTTTATGGAAGGGGTGCCTCTGACATTCTGGCCCATGACAATGGTCTTTTTCAGGCTGATTGTCAGGCCAAAGTTGTTGCAGGCATTGGCCAGGTGGTCGATGAGTGTCTTACAGACCTTGTTCTGTGTGAGCTGTCAGCGCAGCATCATCAGCGAATAGAAGTTCTCTGATGAGGACTTTGCGGACTTTGGTTTTGGATCTGAGACGGCCAAGGTTGAAGAGTTTGCCATCAGATCTTGTGTGAAGAAAGACTCCCTCTTCTGCTGTCCCAAAGGCATGTGTGAGCATAAGTGAGAAAAAGATGCCAAATAGTGTTGGGGCAAGCACGCACCCCGCCTGCTTTACACCGCTGAGTATGGGAAATTCCTCTGAGGTGGTGCCGCTGTGCTGTGTTGTTCCTTTCATGTTGTCGTGGAAAGAGGAGATGACTGCCAGCAGCTTCGGTGGACAGCCAATCACTTTGAGGAGTTTGAAAAGGCATCCCCTACTGATGAGGTCAAAGGCTTTTGTAAGATCAATGAATGCCAAGTACAGGGGCATTCTCTGTTCTCAACATTTCTCCTGTAGCTGATGCAAGGAGAACAGCATGTCAATTGTAGACCTTCCTGCTCTGAAGCCACACTGAGCCTCAGGATGCGTCCTCTCAGCTAGTATCTGTAACCTGCTGAGGGCCACACGGGCAAAGGTTTTCCCCACGATGCTCAGCAGGGAGATGCCGCGGTAGTTATTGCAGTCCCCACGGTCACCATTGTTTTTATATAGGGTGATGATGTTGGAGTCTCTCATGTCTTCAGGCACTGCTCCTTCTTCCCAGCACTGGCAGAGAAGTTCATGGAGTTTTGTGAGGACGGCCGGTTTTGCACATTTCAGTACCTCGGGTGTGATGCCGTCCTGTCCCGGTGACTTGCCGCTGGCTAGTGAGTTGATGGCGTTGTCAAGTTCCTTCAAGGTTGGAACATTGTCCAGTTCGTGTATCGTTGGTAGGGGCTTTACAGCAGCAAGGGCAGCTTCTGACACACCGTTGTCTCGTGAGTAGAGCTCTGAGTAGTGTTCTACCCACCTGGCCATTTGCTCTTGTTTATCAGTGATGATGGCCCCTGTGCTGGATTTAAGGGGGGCAGTCCTCCTGATGTTTGGACCAAAGGCTGTCTTGATGCCTTCATACATGGCACGGATATTGCCAGTGTCAGAGGCGAGTTGGATCCTACTACTGAGATTCACCCAGTAGTTGTTGGCACAGCGTCTGGCGGTCGTTTGAGCTGCACTGCGAGCAGCTTTCAGTGCCCTTAACGATCCTGTACTTGGGACTTGCTTGTACTTCAAGAGCGCCATGCGTTTGGCTTGGAGGATGGGTTCCAATATAGCCAGGTGTTCCTCAAACCAGTCTGTGTTCCGCCTTGTCTGCTTGCCGAAGCTATTGATGGCTGCATTAAAGATGGCGTCTCTGATGTATGCCCACTTTGTCTCCACGCTTCCATCTGGTGTGTCGTGTAGGGACTGCTCAAGGCTGTGTTGGAAAATTGAGGGAGCTCTGGGAGGGATGTCTTAGCAGAGTTGATGCGTAGGTAGCGCTTTTGTTTGAGTCCGTGTATCTTTTTGAGGCGTAGTCTGACCTTGCTGGATACCAGCGAGTGATCGGTGTCACAGACTGCACTGTGGCAGCTGCGTGTGATGAGTACCGAGTTGAGGAGGGCTCGTCGGGTGATGACGAGGTCCAGTTGGTGCAAATTAAGAGACCTTGGATGTCTCCATGATACTTTATGGCATGGTTTTGTGAGAAAGAATGAGTTTGTGATACAGCGATTGTGGTATGAACAAAGCTCCAGTAGTCTTTGGCCACTGGCATTCATCTTTCCAATGCCATGATAGCCAAGGCATGCGGGCCACGCGTCGTGGTCAGCCCCAACCCTTGCATTGAAGTCTCCCAACAGAAACATGTGCTCAGAGCTGGGGATTTTGCGAATAATATCGTGAAGCTCTTCATAGAACTGGTCATGAATCTCCGGAGGTGAGTAGAGTGTTGGGGCGTAGACACTCAGGATGTTTACATGGCCAGAAGCAGTGAGCAATCCAATGGCAGCGGTTGTTATTTCACCCCATCATCATTCAGACCGGTGTGCCTTGGAATCCTATTCCATCACGTACAGTAAACAGGCCTTGCTGCTGTGTCCTCCAACCCTGCCACGGTTCAATGCCCCCTGCCTTCTTGCGGCAGAAGGTCGGACACAAAAGATTCGCCACATTTCCTCAGGAGGCTCGAGACAAGCAACGGTGGCAAATCGTGTGGTGGCGGATTCATGAGAGCACAGTCGTTATTATAGCAGCTCGCCATCCTGAGCTTGGTGTGTGCGCGTGCACAAGCGGGAAGCGGTGGCGCAGTGACAAGCGCGCTGCGTTACGAACTCGGCGGCCCGAGTTTGATTCCCGCTCGTGGCAAAAAAACACAAACTAAAACACACAAAAAATTAGTTCTAAAGAAACGAGTTCTAAATCTGTATTTAAAAGTGCTTAGCTCCAGTGGCTTCCTAATGTCGGAAAGGAGGAGCGTTCCAGACGGCCGCGGAAGCGCGTCTGAAAGCGCCTTCGACCGTCTGTCGAGTGAACGCGAGCAGGCGACGTTACTCTAGAGCAGGGGTCGGCAAACTCCGGAGAGCCTCATGCGGCTCTTCAAATGACTGCTTCGTGACCGTTGTGTATTAAGGACCACCGTCTCGGATTCACGTGCAACTGCGGCTCGTTGAATTACCGAGTCGTTTTTTGTTTTGTCATTACCGAATTCGGACCAAAAAAAAAAAAGCCGTCTCCGCTTGTTACTTTGCCCGCCGACCCCTGCTCTAGACCGAGAGGACGGTCGTCCGCTAACGCCTGTACCGTCGGGCGTCTTGCGAATGACGCAGAGGACGTCCTCCTCGCGCAGGTTGAGCTCGTCCATCTCGAGGGCCACGTAGTCCCGCACGCACTGCACCACCGGGCAGTCTGCAGCAGCGGCACGCGCGGGCCGGGGGGGGGGGGTGCACGATTCATCAAACCACCACTGCCCGATACTATTTTAGATTATCAAACGTCCAAATCAAAGACTTTTGATATGTATTATATTAAGAATGTAATCATCCACCCGCCCCCCCATCATTCGCAGTGAACAACGCATCAAATGATTTTGAGTTTCAAGCCCCCGATACTACATGCATTGAATCGCAAGGGTAAGAAGAATGTGTGTTCTTACTAATTGGCATGTGCTCTATGTAACAGATTAACATCACCCCTGCAGCCACGAGGGCAGTGAGTGTTCTTCACTAATTTTCGGAGGGGAGCCACTTTCCCCGATAAGACATCACCAGTGTGAGGACTGCCACCCCATTTGTAACCATCAGGGAGTTCGACGGCACGATGATGATGATGATGATGGAGGATGTTTTCACTTTTGTTTATTGTCGGGGGGCCGCACTAAAGGCCACCAGGGGCCACCAGTGGCCCGCGGGCCTTACAATGTGGAACAATGCACTTGAGGCACTACCATTCGGCACGATGTAAATAAATAAATATTTGGCGAATATATGCACAGTACATAAGGCCGACAGTTGTTACAAATTACGATCATCGCTACAATGCAGTATTAGAAATACGTAACTTGGAACATTACCCACTGTACAGCCCTGCACAACAGGCGAGAAACGAATTTCAACTCTTGAATGGAGGCCCAGGAGAGAAGCGAAGGGAAGAAGAAGAAGAGAGAGCGGAAGAAGAGACGGCAGCAGCAGCAGCAAGGAGACAACCTCACAGAGTCCGGAGGTCACTTCTGAACAGGAGCAACCAGGGAAAGGAAGGAATGGAAGTAATTGTGGGGAGTTACTTTTCCCAGCCGTGGGAAGTTACAGGCAGAACAACAACAATAACAACATTACGTACCCCAGGGCTGATATACTTTTTCATTTTCATTTGCTCCATTGGAAGAAATGGCCTCCACCCAGCGCAGCTTTTCCGTGCTGCGTTTGAAAATGGACAAAAACGATTTGATGATGAATACGGCGTTATTTTTCACGTGGTTGCTTGCGTCACTGTGAACATTTGTACGGAAGAAAATGTATTTATTTTTTACGTTGCAAAATTAAGCGACGTCCCTCCGCTTCTGCGTGAAAAAAATCGTTTAGGAGACTGTCCACCCCTATCATCAAATCCGCCAGCGCATTGGCAATTCTCGCGGTTTTTATACCGCGAGGCTGATTAGCGATTTTCAATTTTCACGATGGCCCTGTGTGTCACAGACGATTTACAATCGGCAGCAGTTTCACGGGAGGGAACGATGTTGTTATGCTGCTTTACCCAATTAAGTAATTTTGGAGCAATTGGAGGGCGCCCCGAGAGGGTTTACAACCTACAAGGTGCTGAGTGGGTTAGCCCCACAAAATATTTACAATATTCACAATATTTACAGGAGCTGATCCATTTTTATATATCAACGAGGTCCCTGAGATCTTCGAATCGAGCGTTGAGACATTACTCAACTCCTGCAGATAGCAATGCCGAGCTAGTGATAGAAACTCCTCGTTCCTATGACGGGGGTGAGTCTAGCCATTAAATGACCACTGTTGACTTCCCCACAATATGGTACTAATTGTATCGACCCTGGGGGGATAATTGACTGAATCAACCCAGGCCAACCAGGAGTAGATCTCGCGACATTGTGTTTGCAAGCCGCTCGCTCTGCTGCTGAGTCACCCCAGCCGTCTGCGATACAATCGTGGGGGCAAGACGCGCTTCTGCGGCCGTCTGGAACGCTCTTCTTTTCGATATTAGGAAGCCGCTGGAGCTATGCACTTTTAAATCATCTAGATTTAAAACTCATTTCTTTAGAACTGCTTTTTTTGTGTTTAGTTTGTTGTCCTTCCCCCGCACACCTCCTATTCGAGCGGTTAGCTACGTACAGGTGCAAAAAAAGTTCAACATACATGCCATCAGGTAGTCGTTGCGTGCCAGGCATTGGTAAAATGGTACTAACGAGCGGACGACCATCTGTCGGTCTAGAGTCGCGTCACCTACTCGCGTGCACTCGTCAGATGGTCAAAGGCAGTCACCGCATCGCACGGCGCTTTCAGAAGTGCTTCTGCGACCGTCTGGAACGTTCTTCCTTCCGATATTAGAGCTATGCACTTTTAAGTCGTCTAGATTGAAAACCCATTTCTTTAGAATAGTTTTTTTTTGTGTTCAGTTTGTTGTCCTTGCCCATTGCACATCTCCGATTAGCATGGTTGGCTACGTACGGTGCGAAATAATTTCAACATATATACAGTCATACCTTGGTATACGACCGCTTTGGAATACGTCGAATTTGGTATACGTCGTGTTTTGACGAGAAAAAAAAACGTCTTGGGATACGACGTCTTGCTAGGGATACGACGCGCTTGCTAGAACTTGTCTGGGTCGGGATGAGTCACCGCGTACCCGCGTAGACCCCGTTCACGACTGAGACAAAGCGCCGCTCCTCAGTCTGCCTGTAGATCTCGTTCAGTGCACGACCCCCTTGCTATAATTCTCTGTTAATTTTCACATGCATTTATTTAAATTTATGTATGCATTCAGACAGTCTCGTCCCTTCACCTGATGAAGGCCGCTTGTGTTGTGGCCGAAACGTCGTGAGAATATTATTGTGTTATTTTATTTTATCAATTTATTATTTTATTCTCATTCTACGTGACTTTACCGAAAGAACCAAAGAAGATGAATCCTTGCAGTCACGAAAGCTTTAAATCGAAATTTAGTGTCTAAATTTTGACTTAAAGCTTTCGTGACTGCAGTAATTCATATTCTTGGTTCTTTCGGTAAAGTCACGTTGAAGGGAAACAATAAAATATATATATAAAACAATATATTGTTTTGTATATATTTCACATTGTTTTATATATATTTTATTATTTTATTGTTTCCCTTCAACGTGACTATACCGAAAGAACCAGGAATAAATAGTGTCTACATTATGTTATACAACCCCATTAATGTATAAAATGCCATATAAAATATAATTTCTTATACTCTGTAACGGATTATTTCCTTTCCCTTAATTTCTTGTGGGAAAAATTCGTTTGGTGTTCGTCATGTTCGGTATAAGTCCTCCTCCCCTCTGGAACGAATCAACGACGTATACCGAGGTACCACTGTATAATAGAAAACGTGAATCCGGGATATAAAGGGGTGTTGGTGGGGGGCGTGGGGGGGGGGGTGCTGCCTTACGTGTTCGAGGCGGCAAGCAGCCACTCGGCCTGCTTGCCCTGGTGATTGTCCATCAGCGTGAGCAGGAAGGCGTCGCTGTTCCCCTCCGCCTCGGCGGCCATTACAAACGCTCGGTCCGCGTAGTCCAGCACCAGCAGACGGCCGCTGCAGCCAGAAATGGGAGAGGGGGGGAGGCACACAACGCAGGGCCAGCTGCACGCTTCTCTTTCGCACGGCTTCAGATTTTGGTTCCGTCAATCTCTCCTCGTCGGCGCTGCCCATCGTCTCTGGTCCCTGTGTCGCAGCGGGCGACGCACGCGGACGTCACGATACGTCCGCGTGCGTAGCCTCTTGCGGACGGGTGGGTGACGCACGTGCGCGGCGAGCAGTGCACAACGCTGGCCCAACATTCAGAGGCGTTCCGCGTCATCTTCGGCGAGACGCGGAGGGTTCGCCTTGCTTAAGCTCCAAGCGCCGCGTCCCGGGTTAGGCCTCGTGCAGGGGGGTTTATTGCCTCAAGCTTTTGCCGCGCACTGCTGCGGGCGTCTTTACTCTGACTCGTGGAGAGATGCCCGCAGCAGTGCGTGGCGAAAGCTTCTTCTGTACGTACGTATGTTGAACTTCTTTCGCAGCGGACGTAGCCAACCGTGCTCATCGGAGATGCCCGCAGTAGTATGTGGCAAAACCTTCTGCATGGAAACAAGCTTATTCTACTCAAGATACCCGCAGTAGTGCACGGGGATGGCTTGAGAGAAAAAAAAAACGCTCAAAGCGAGGCCAAACGCAGAAGGTCAACGTTGTGACCACGGGCGGCTGCTAAGCAAACGCTGTCGAAAAACATTCAGTTCAGTCAGTCGCTGGAACTAAATGTTGCTCGATGTTTTTCAATGACGCGTGGTCACTGATGCATTAACTTATTTCCCACAAATCCTTTATATGACTTTCTAAAATTGTTCGTAAAATGCCCCTGCTTATTGTTCTATGCAACCCCCGTCAGCCCTCCATTGTGATGTAGCTTTGACCGGGTCGCCAGTCAAAAAACAGCTTCTTAACTCAGTGGGGCCTTTGCCCGAAATAAACCGACCGACGAGCTGAGCGCAGAATGGCTTTGCGAAGAAATGACCCACGAGGTCATTGCTTTGCGTGAAACAAAAACATTAAACGGGTGAACCACTGAGAGCAGCAGATGAAGCGATCCCGGCGGCTCACCCCTTCTGCTTGGTGGCGACGATGAGGAAGTCGTTGAAGAGGAGGAGCATCACGTAGGTCTTGCCCTGCGTGAATCTCGCCACGGCCATGGGGATGATCGTCTTGGCCTTTTCCTGGACAAGCAGCTTTCCACTCTTCAGCAGCGAGCGCGACTGCGATACGATGGCCAGGCTCTAGCACACGGGGGCACGGTGGGTGGGTGGGGGACACAGTGGTTTTGTTTTAGCGACCGTGGCCTCCTTATAGTTGTCCCGGTCAAAGCTTTGACCAGGTTCCACCTAGCTCATGGTGCTCCCTAAACTGCGTTGGCAGTGGTGCATATCCACAAGTAATGAATACTGCACTCAACACATTTGTGAATAACACTGCTCTAAAGGTAAAACAAATACTGTGTGTAGAGTAATAGGCCATGATCGAGGCAAACTCTCTCATTTGAAACACCGTTGTTCGAAACGTCAGCTGTGATATGTGTTTTCTCTTTTAGGGCAGTATTGTTAATGGCTGTGCTCAGTGTTCATTTGACCCAACGCAGAAGATCCCCTGGGTTTGATCTTCCACGAAGCTCATGGTCCATCCTAAACCACATCCACTGCACAAACCATGGCAGATTCGGATACCTAACAATGCACAAATGGAAAATAAAAAAAACTCACTAGTCACATAAAACTGTAGACCGTAAAATGCATAACGACGCAATGTCCAATCTACAAATACAAAGGAGACATCGCAGCCACACACTCCGCTACTCCTGACGCAGTCTCGTCCCTTCACCTGATGAAGGCCGCTTGTGTTGTGGCCGAAACGTCGTGAGAATATTATTGTGTTATTTTATTTTATCAATTTATTATTTTATTCTCATTCTACGTGACTTTACCGAAAAAACCAAAGAAGATGAAATTGTAGTTGTTGCTCTGCGTCTACATCATCAGCCATACGACAAGAAGAAGAGAAGCGACCGCGGCCTGGTTTGTCATTAAACCACAGCGGTTCCGAGGCCACGTATCCATAGGCACGGCTCACGCGTGGCTCTTGGCTCGGGTGAGCCGGCTCAAAGCCACCTTGCTCAATTTTAGCCGGCTCCAACCCTGGAGCACGGGCCCGGCCGTGCTCCGGGTTTCCCGTGAAGCTGCGCCAGAGCCGAGCCAGCTCGCTTGTGCATCTTTGAGAACAAGGGAGAGGCTTAAGCCTCAGCTAGGCCATGTTGGTTACCGAGCCATAGCCGAGCCACGACTAAGAATACGGCCCTAGGATTGGCCGTGCTTCTTATTTGAGATGACAAGAATTGGGCGGTTGAGATCGTGACAATGTGTGGGGTTGCTGTGAGGTAACCCAGGAGGTGGCAGTGTAGCGATGGGGTTCAATCTGCAGGGCTATTGCGTTGGGTCTATATGCGGGTTGGGTCTCTCTGTTACCAACTCTGTGAGTGTTATTCTCTCGTATGTGTGTTGGGTATAATAGTGGGCAAATTTGGAAATCGGTCGTAACTACCAGAATGTTTTGAATTATCAAACGATAAATTTTGATTTAAAGCTTTCATGACTGCAGTAATTCATATTCTTAGCTCTTTCGGTAAAGTCACGTTGTTTCCCTTCAACGTGACTTTACCAAAAGAGCTAAGAATATTATCAAACGATGTTAACAGGGGCGGCCCTAGACGAGCTGCCAGCAACTGGCGCCCCTAGGGCAAACTACGCAAATCGGCACCTCCACCTCCCAAACCCCAGAGGGCAGTTCTAGGCTGACATTTTTGGTAAACTGGGTAAACATTTTTCCCCTATTTTACGTTAAATGTTTTTTTAAGCGTATTTGTTTTAAAACAAAGGCATAATTATTCGGTTTGTCTGTGTATCTGTCTGTTCAACCAATACATTCTCAGAGATGTTGAGAAATGTATTATGAATCATATTCCCTCTGTACGTGCACAGGAATTGAAATAATGACACTTTCGTTATTTTATTTGTATTTTTCCTCGAATTTGGCGTCTCACTTGGCATCCCGAAGCGACCGCCTGGTTCGCCTGTATGGACGGGCCCCCTCTGGATGTTAACGTTAGGTCTGAACCAGTGCAATCGTCTGAAGTATTTGTTTAAATATAGCCCTTCAGAAGTTGATCTCACCCAATACCAAAAGTGATCCGAATTGCGTTGTTAAATGCATTTTTTTAACACAGAGCAAACTCCAAACTACATTCTGGGTATGACCTGTGGCAGGGTTCAACTTAACAAGAGTTACCTTCATAAATGTTATTCTGTGTTAGATCGCGTAAATATACATTTTGCCCCGATTCTTGAAATGCGCCTGATGAAACTGGTTGTAATGACCAGCGCAACGTCGTACTCAAATTGTAAATGTTGTAGGTTTAACACACCGGTGTGTTGGAGCAGTAACTAATTGGCACGTTCTGTTTGCGTGACAAACCTTATTAATTGGCTGTGTCGGGCGGTGGCGGCATTTAACGATGCATTTATATTTACGCGCTCTAACCCAAAATAACAACCTTATTATGAATAACATTGGTCGCAAAAGCCTAGTGTGTTAAAAAGAGTTACCTTCATGCCCTTTTCAAAATAAATGTTGTTCGCGATGTTCACGACTTGCTCAGCTTGCGTCCGCTCACCAACTCCCTTGTCACTCTGCTGCACAAGCTTTGCAAAGAGTTGAGAGTAAAAGTTAAACTCTGCAGCCTTGAGCATGAACCCACTCGAAGGGTGGCACGCAACGTGGGTTAATGCAATCAAATGTAACTGCAGACCTACAAGACTGTTGGATAATCCATCGCGCGAAGTGGCCATTGACAAAACAAACCGGCAGACGCTCAACGGAGTGGCGATGAATAGTAAGAGCGAAAATTTATTTAGAAAATGTAAATTGAAATAAATGGCTGGATTTCGAGATCAGACGTACCTCTTCCAATTTAGACAGAGCCAACTCGACCACGTTTCCTGATTCTACGCTTTCTTCTGCCTTCGAAATGACATTCTGCGTGGAAAAAATATGCAAAACATGTATTACAGTTATCTTCTTATACGTAGGTCTTTACCGCCAATATTATGATTCCTAATTGATTTATTTTGGGTTAGATCGTGTACGTATAACCCTCCAAGTAATTTTGTTTTTAACAATATTATACAAACACAATGTACACAGATTATAGGCGATGCAGATTACAGGCGACATTGATACAGATTACAGGTAAGAATAAACATCCTTATTTTTAACTGTGCATTATTCCCAACACTGAAGTTAATTTACGTGTATGGTGTAAGGGTAATTATCATCAACATTTAACGAGACAGCCAATTTACTGCGTTATCTGGCCCTAGGCCTCCCCAACACATTCGTACACAGGGCACAGCGTTTGATTTGCCTTTGGCTTCGTATTCATACACAAACCTTGTGGCAAAGCATCTACCCAGTAGATAATAACAATAGTATTAATAGGTTTTCCCCTTTTTTCTGGCAACAAAACAGGTGTTAAGATGTTAAATCCCCAAACTGAAACCTTTTTTTTACAAGGAATCATGTCTGCATTAACCACAATGCTTGTGGTCAGAATGCAAACAAAAAAACATAATCTGATAAAATATGCATTGTCTTTGAAACTTATTGGTCCACACCAGAGATGAAGTTTTCTTTTGAGCCTCGTCTCAAACGGTGTTAGACCAGAGGACGCCAAAATGTTTAGTTTTATATAGTGCTGTCGTTCATGCACACTGCATCTCACAATCGCTGAGGAACCACAGGCAAAGCTGGAAGGCAGCCACCAACGGTGTTGAGCCGGCACTAACTTTTGCCCAAGCTCTGCGGTCCTCTACGTTTTCAGCCAATGAGTGTTTACACATTTAGGAGGAAACCGGGGCATCCAGAGAGAACCACGCACGAAGGTCGGTACCGCATGCTAGGGGTCGTGTGCCCATCACCACACACAGCGGCCGTTGTCTCCCCAGGTGCTGATGTTTACGTACTGCATCAGGTTCAGATGTTCGCCCATAATGTTGGCTGACAGCGAGAATCTAACTCGGGTAGCTGGGTACATACCACAGTGCAATAAGCACCACACTACCACTCCCCATTCAAGCTTTCACGAAGACAAAGATCTTCCCTAGAGCCTTAATAACAGACTTGTGGCAAGTGCTATTAGCGAAGCTGGCAGGGCGCACAAACGGGTGGGTGGCTAGCGCCACACCCAGCCTCCTTTGTCTTCCCAGTGCTGATGCTTTCACACCGCACTCGGCACTAATTTCAGGCTGGGCTAACCTAAGGGAGATCCAGTACCGGTTCAGATATTCCTCACCAATGTTGGCCGTGAGCGGGAATCGAATTCGGGCTGCCAAGTTCATAACGCGGTGCGTTAACCGCCGCACCATCGCTCCCCACACCATAGCAATCGCCACACTCGCTTTACACACACAAAACAGGGAGAGTGATTGTTGGGTGTAAACTCGGCCTCGTGCACATTTTAGCCGTGACCTCTCTCCGTCCGTCTTCACCCCGCAGCGCAGACCCACCTTGACGAGCAGCTGATAGCGGGTGATGCGCTGGTAGGGCACGCTCAGGAAGGAGAGGAACGGCAGCTTCTCACACACCGGCGCCTCCTCCAGCAGCTTGATCTTGCTCGAGAACAAGCCCTTGTCCTTACCCTCGCTGACATCGGGAGCACAGACATAGGGTGGTTTAATAAGGGAGGTAGGTGTTGATACTGGCGCCGATCGCACGGCCGTCACAATACGATCGCGCCAGGCGTCGATGGACGCGACGAGAGAAAGGCTCGGAGCACGCAGTGACATCCAATGCGTGAGCTGATACCGATACAAACTACTCACTGTATATATATGGTAAAAATAATGATGATAAATAATACTCTTTGTATAGTCATCGTAAATCTGCTGCTGCCGGAGTAAGGCCTCCCAAACACGCCAGCCACCTTCGCATGATCCTGTGATGCAATAATGATCCTGTAATGCAATAATGATCCTGTGATGCAATAATAATCCTGTGATGCAATAATGATCTGGCGATGCAATAATAATCCTGTGATGCAATAATAGTCCTGTAATGCAATCATGATCCTGTGATGCAATAATAATCCTGTGATGCAATAATGATCCTGTGATGCAATAATACTCCTGTGATGCATTAATAATCCTGTGATGCAATAATGATCCTGCAATGCAATAATGATCCTGTGATGCAATAATAATCCTGTGATGCAATAATGATCCTGTGATGCAATAATGATCCTGTGATGCAATAATACTCTTGTGATGCAATAATGATCCTGTGATGCAATAATACTCCTGTGATGCAATAATAGTCCTGTAATGCAATCATGATCCTGTGATGCAATAATAATCCTGTGATGCAATAATGATCCTGTGATGCAATAATACTCCTGTGATGCAATAATACTCCTGTGATGCAATAATGATCCTGTGATGCAATAATAATCCTGTGATGCAATAATACTCCTGTGATGCAATAATGATCCTGTAATGCAATAATAATCCTGTGATGCAATAATGATCCTGTGATGCAATAATGATCCTGTGATGCAATAATAATCTTGTGAGGCAATAATGATCCTGTGATGCAATAATGATCCTGTGATACAATAATAATCCTGTGATGCAATAATAATCCTGTGATGCAATAATGATCTTGCGATGCAATAATAATCCTATGATGCAATAATGATCCTGTGATGCAATAATACTCCTGTGATGCAATAATAATCCTGTGATGCAATAATAATCCTCCTGTGATGCAATAATGATCCTGTGATGCAATAATGATCCTGTGATGCAATGATAATCCTGTGATGCAATAATGATCCTGTGATGCAATAATGATCCTGTGATGCAATAATACTCCTGTGATGCAATAATGATCCTGTGATACAATAATACTCCTGTGATGCAATAATAGTCCTGTAATGCAATAATGATCCTGTGATGCAATAATAATCCTGTGATGCAATAATGATCCTGTGATGCAATAATACTCCTGTGAAGCATTAATGATCCTGTGATGCAATAATGATCCTGCGATGCAATAATGATCCTGTGATGCAATAATGATCCTGTGATGCAATAATACTCCTGTGATGCAATAATAATCCTGTGATGCAATAATGATCCTGCGATGCAATAATGATCCTGTGATGCAATAATACTCCTGTGATGCAATAATGATCCTGTGATGCAACAATGATCGTGTGATGCAATAATAATCCTGTGATGCAATAATGATGCTGTGATGCAATAATGATCCTGTGATGCAATAATACTCCTGTGATGCAATAATACTACTGTGATGCAATAATGATCCTGTGATGCAATAATAATCCTGATGCAATAATGATCCTGTGATGCAATAATACTCCCGTGATGCAATAATGATCCTGTGATGCAATAATAATCCTGTGATGCAATAATAATCCTGTGATGCAATAATTATCCTGTGATGCAATAATACTCCTGTGATGCAATAATGATCCTGTGATGCAATAATAATCCTGTGATGCAATAATAATCCTGTGATGCAATAATAATCCTGTGATGCAATAATAATCCTGTGCTGCAATAATGATCCTGTGATGCAATAATGATCCTGTGATGCAATAATGATCCTGTGATGCAATAATGATCCTGTGATGCAATAATGATCCTGTGATGCAATAATGATCCTGTGATGCAATAATGATCCTGTAATGCAATAATGATCCTGTGATGCAATAATAATCCTGTGATGCAATAATGATCTTGCGATGCAATACTAATCCTGTGATGCAATAATGATCCTGTGATGCAATAATAATCCTGTGATGCAATAATAATCCTGTGATGCAATAATGATCCTGCGATGCAATAATAATCCTGTGATGCAATAATAATCCTGTGATGCAATAATGATCCTGTGATACGATAATGATCCTGTGATACAATAATAATCCTGTGATGCAATAATAATCCTGTGATGCAATAATTATCCTGTGATGCAATAATGATCCTGTGATGCAATAATAATCCTGTGATGCAATAATGATCCTGTGATGCAATAATGATCCTGTGATGCAATAATAATCCTGTGATGCAATAATGATCCTGTGATGCAACAATGATCGTGTGATGCAATAATAATCCTGTGATGCAATAATGATCCTGTGATGCAATAATGATCCTGTGATGCAATAATACTCCTGTGATGCAATAATACTCCTGTGATGCAATAATGATCCTGTGATGCAATAATAATCCTGATGCAATAATGATCCTGTGATGCAATAATACTCCTGTGATGCAATAATGATCCTGTGATGCAATAATAATCCTGTGATGCAATAATAATCCTGTGATGCAATAATGATCCTGTGATGCAATAATACTCCTGTGATGCAATAATGATCCTGTGATGCAATAATAATCCTGTGATGCAATAATAATCCTGTGATGCAATAATAATCCTGTGATGCAATAATAATCCTGAGATGCAATAATGATCCTGCGATGCAATAATGATCCTGTGATGCAATAATACTCCTGTGATGCAATAATGATCCTGTGATGCAATAATACTCCTGTGATGCAATAATGATCCTGTGATGCAATAATAATCCTGTGATGCAATAATAATTCTGTGATGCAATAATAATCCTGTGATGCAATAATAATCCTGTGATGCAATAATAATCCTGATGCAATAATACTCCTGTGATGCAATAATGATCCTGTGATGCAATAATGATCCTGTGATGAAATAATAATCCTGTGATGCAATAATGATCCTGTGATGCAATAATGATCCTGTGATGCAATAATGATCCTGTGATGCAATAATAATCCTGTGATGCAATAATAATCCTGCGATGCAATAATGATCCTGCGATGCAATAATGATCCTGTGATGCAATAATAATCCTGCGATGCAATAATGATCCTGCGATGCAATAATAATCCTGTGATGCAATGATCCTGTGATGCAATAATAATCCTGTGATGCCATAATAATCCTGTGATGCAATAATGATCCTGTGATGCAATAATGATCCTGTGATGCAATAATGATCCTGTGATGCAATAATAATCCTGTGATGCAATAATGATCCTGTCATGCAATAATAATCCTGTGATGCAAAAATGATCCTGTGATGCAATAATAATCCTGTGATGCAATAATGATCCCGTGATGCAATAATAATCCTGTGAGGCAATAATAATCCTGTGATGCAATAATGATCCTGTGATGCAATAATAATCCTGATGCAATAATAATCCTGAGAGGCAATAATAATCCTGTGATGCAATAATGATCCTGTGATGCAATAATAATCCTGATGCAATAATAATCCTGATGCAATAATGATACTGTGATGCAATAATACTCCTGTGATGCAATAATGATCCTGTGATGCAATAATAATCCTGTGATGCAATAATGATCCTATGATGCAATAATAATCCTGCGATGCAATAATGATCCTGTGATGCAATAAACCTCCTGTGATGCAATAATGATCCTGTGATACAATAATAATCCTGTGATGCAATAATAATCCTGTGATGCAATAATGATCCTGTGATGCAATAATAATCCTGTGATACAATAATAATCCTGTGATGCAATAATGATCCTGTGATACAATAATAATCCTGTGATGCAATAATAATCCCGTGATGCAATAATGATCCTGTGAGGCAATAATAATCCTGTGATGCAATAATAATCCCGTGATGCAATAATGATCCTGTGAGGCAATAAAAATCCTGATGCAATAATGATCCTGTGATGCAATAATGATCCTGTGATAGAATAATAATCCTGTGATGCAATAATAATCCTGTGATGCAGTAATGATCCTGTGATGCAATAATAATCCTGTGATGCAATAATGATCCTGCGATGCAATAATGATCCTGTGATGCAATAATACTCCTATGATGCAATAATACTCCTGTTATGCAATAATAATCCTGATGCAAAAATGATCCTGTGATGCAATAATAATCCTGTGATGCAATAATGATCCTGTGATGCAATAATAATCCTGTGATGCAATAATAATCCTGATGCAATGATCCTGCGATGCAATAATAATCCTGTGATGCAATAATGATCCTGTGATGCAATAATAATCCTGTGAGGCAATAATAATCCTGTTATGCAATAATGATCGTGTGATGCAATAATAATCCTGTTATGCAATAATACTCCTGTGATGCAATAATACTCTTGTGATGCAATAATGATCCTGTGATGCAATAATAATCCTGTGATGCAATAATGATCCTGTGATGCAATAATACTCCTGTGATGCAATAATGATCCTGTGATGCAATAATAATCCTGTGATGCAATAATAATCCTGTGATGCAATAATGATCCTGTGATGCAATAATACTCCTGTGATGCAATAATGATCCTGTGATGCAATAATAATCCTGTGATGCAATAATAATCCTTTGATGCAATAATAATCCTGTGATGCAATAATAATCCTGTGATGCAATAATGATCCTGTGATGCAATAATACTCCTGTGATGCAATAATGATCCTGTGATGCAATAATAATCTGGTGATGCAATAATAATCCTGTGATGCAATAATAATCCTGTGATGCAATAATGATCCTGTGATGCAATAATGA